CTCACCAACTCAGTACCGGTACTGGCTACTGTCATCAGCATCAACACTGACGGCGGCTCTATTCAATTTCCCAAACTCTACGCACAAGGGGAGTATCACACGCGGTACACTCTAGAGACCCCCCAAATTCCAAAAGCCGAGTTCAACCAGCTCCGATACGTCTGTCGACTTTTGTGTCAAGAGACGAGGGGCTTGAGCCTGCGGTACAACGAATTGGTTTTCATGAAAGAGCCAGGAACGACAACACCGGCACAAGCAATATGCGCGAGGTTTTTAGAGGCCATTCCTGCCAGTGCACAAGCGAGAATCCGACGGATTACGGTCATCGCGGACACAGTGACGCCCAGGCCGTTGGAACACGCTTCGATCACTAGGGATTGTTGGTACAATATCGGGCAGCTGCTCACGGGCGGCGAATACCCTATCATACACTCGTTCTGTCGCGCCAACCCAACTGCGAAAGTCGTGGTCCGCTATGACACTAGGCGTATAAACAAGTTCGGACACGAAAAACCTCTTATGGTAGGCACCAGATACGCGCTGCTTCACGCTAGCCTACGCTTCTTCTTGCGTGGCTCTTCGGCTGTTGAGGCAGGGTTGCTCGAGGCAATGACAGGGGGTTCAAGTCATCCTCAACATCACTATCCCTACGGATTGTGGAGAAAGGTACATGTTGCCGAGTGGGCAATCGCTACATGTATGATACCAGCGATAAAAACGACTCCGGATGCTGAGAAGATCTTCAAAGGGGCGCTATTGGACAATTTCAGAGTCACGATTTCTAGATGGTATCGTGTGCCGAGTCCTTTGTGGGTGATGAAGGATGAGTGGTATGCGGCCGCGAGGCGGGAGTTTGAGGAGGGGTGTTAGACGCGTTGGAGAAGTGGAAATGGAAGAAGAAGGGTCATATGGTGCACGATATTAGCTACGGGCAAGATATAACTTCATTCCCACCCCAAACTCTCCAAACACCAGACCACCGATATGAAAAGTCCATCATCATCTTCCATAACCCTCATCTCAACGCCTTCCTCAATTTCCTCATTTCATCACCCCTACCACTCATTATCCTCACCAAACCAATACCCTCCAGGCATGTTCACACCCCATCCGGGTTGGCCGAACGAATACGGATCACCCAAGCTAGCATGCATACGCGGTCCGCGGTTGGAGTTAACGCGCGGTCTCCTCCGTAGCTCCGTTGAGTAAGGAGGGCTCACGCTGCGGTAGTCGCCTGAGTGGTAACCTTGGCGTGGTTCTTCGTAGCGGTTGCGCGGTGGAGAGATGCCGCGCCTGTATGCGTAGGGGTTGTGTTGGGCCCATTCTTCGGGGGTGAAGCGGGGGTACATGGTTGGTTCTGATGGGGATTTGAGCTGGGGTGTATTTACTGGGTGGTGGTGCTTTGATGTTTTGCGTTGTGATAATTGGGTAAGAGATGTAGTGGAGAATGAGCTGGCTTTGTTGATGTGGTAAAGTTGCAGGATAGCTCTGTGCTTTTATACGTGGGCTACATGATGAATGCATGGAGGACTGTGATCGAAGTATGAAGTGTTGCGACAAGATCGGGTGAGTTGGCGGATCTTAGGATAGCGATGCGCTGGCTCGGAGTGATGGTTGTGGCATTTCTGAGGCGTGGGAAACATTTGAGACATTCAATACAAACTTACTCTGGACGAACGACTATCCTGAGATGTAGCAACAAGCTCTATTAGAATAGTCCATCACATCCATCCCCGGCAAAAGTTCACATCACCTACTTCGCACCCCTCACAGATACACGCTTGAACCATGGTCTAGATGCCCTACGACGACACATGGAAGCTCTTGTAGATCTTGGCCTAAGACTTTATCATAAGTACGCCTGTTGCCTTCTTAATTGTGAAGTGGCTAAGGGCACTTACTTGTATACGGGTTGAAGTTTCTCTCCTTTACTAGCTGAAATTCTGGAAGAGCTGACTTGGTGCGTTTGGAGTATCTGGTTATGCGAAAGGCAGCGGAGTATAACAATATTGCGAAGAGTGTGCGAAGATTGAAAAGGAAGTTAATGACAGGATTTAGCGAAACTAGAACTTGAAGAGACAGGATACAAAGACGTAGATGTTTGGGGTTTATTCCAGTGCACAGTTTGTTACGAAGATGGAGAGGGGTCTTTCTAAGCAACAAAAGCCTCTGAAGACCGATGTGAATGTTAAGGTAGCGATACAGCGGTAAATATTAGAGCTGTCGTAAGCAGAAAGCCCCAGAAAAACAATACAATATGACTCTTTCTGGTCGACCCAATGTACAGAGCGAGGATCAACTCCACAGGTAGAGGGAATAGAAAATAGGTTATCCGCGACGTATCAAACGCACCGTACACCGTCACCATGACACATACAACCATTGCGGAGATGGACAGTTTGTGGCTCCTGATCCAGGTTTTAGTGTTCCACTCAAGGCCACTGTCGCCGGTGGGAAGTAGTGGGTTTGTGTAAGAGATTGATCCTCCGCGCAGGTCTTTCGTTATGCAACGACGCAGCTTCGCCTCAGTGAAAGCAGATATGTCATCGCCCTCTTCTTTCGCAGGGTGTTGAGCGGTAGGAAGAGTATGCAACGAGGGACTTTTAATCTGATCTCGCATAGCAGCGGCGAGTTCAAAGACAGCTTTGTACTCTCCTGCCACGTCTTCTTTACTTCGCCCTCGCATTTCCATGTTTATGTAAGCCCTGAGCCACATAACATAGAGCCCCGAAGTCCATATGATATGGAGGATTATCACAATAAAAAGCTGAATGTAAGAGAACCCCCACTTGTAGTCCTAGATGGATCAGCCAAATAAAGATAGCTTCAGAAGATGCAGACGTACCGACGTCGCCTGGCACTTCCCGTTTTGCTGCAGATAGCCTAAATGGTAAGTCTTATTTTCGTACCCCCATAGTAGTTGTGACGTAGCGCAGGTATCGATTTGAATAGACTTCCAGCATTCGCTGTTTTGATAGGGGGCTGATATATTGAGGACAGGAGGTGGCAAATCGATGCTCCCGAAAGTCGAGTTTGTCGCGTTTACTCCGTTGAGACCGTACGTGGCAACATCTGTGTGTACATCAGCAGCAATAATACTCTTCTGGACAGTGTAACTTACATTTGTACACGTCAAGTCCCATATCGCAGGCGTTCTTGTCATTGCTTGATGCACGGCGATCGTAACAGTCGGGAGACTTCCATTGCATACCACTAAGCCATGAAGTCTGAATTTGGTGTCCAGGAAGTACTACTAGGCAGTCAAACTACAGCATTCTCTGATGTTACGCTATGGTCACTTGCCTGAGTCACTTGGATCAGCTGTCACGATATGACCACCATCTCGACCCGGGATGCGCCAACCGTCATGAATGATGAACGATGCGAATTGAAACGAGCCGAAAGGCACATATTCGCCTTCAGTGGTATTAATGAATGGTGCGACATTTGCGCTATAACCAGTCATCGCACTGGCGAGAGTCGGATATACAAAGGTGAAGATCATGGTATATACCATAAAGACCATGGCTATCTTGGAATGTAGACCGTGGCGCGCGACGAAATCTCGAATTGTATGGAGTGTAGCAAGGAAGAGGCCACCGTTCGGTAGGAAGATGGTCCGATATGTCCCAAACGTGACGGGCGTAACTTGCATGGATGTTGTCACATATTTGGCGAATACGTGCCACGATATGTATGCGACGACGGCTTGACCACCGCGACCAACAAGCTTGTGGGTCATTAGCTTCCTAATCCTTATGGGTATCGTAACTCCTGCCTTTTGGGTGTGGCGCAACTTACGATGTCCCAGATTATGTCTATAGCCTTCACCTGGGTGAAGCTCATCTGCCCCCATCCCATGGTAATTTGGAAAAATCCCGAGCCGCTCAGATATCGAAAGTGTGAGGAGTCCATGGCGAAGGAATTATCGGGTAAACAGGCCTCCAAGTGACCGAATAGATCGGAATTAGGAAATGACGACCAGATAAGACAGACTAACAGCATTTCAAACCACGATATGAGAAGTAGCCATAGTCCAAAGCGACGCCATCGTTTGCGCAAGTCTCCAGCAGCTTGCTGATGACTTTCACGCAAGGCCGCCGCAAAGTGAGAGAGTCTCGCGCGGAGTGTAGATGCGACGTGAGAGGGTTTTGGCGTCATTGCAGAAGCAGAGAAATGAAAAAGCTTGTGTGTTTTACCGAGCATCAAATGCTATGTCTTAATCGCGCCTGAAATGTAGGACCGTCTGTAACATTGGGAAGCAGGGACTTGATAAAGGCATGAGAAGACCGCGCATTCTATGATACCTACCAATTGCAGTAATTATGAGCGTAGTTAATCTAGCCGATCTTCTGCTGACTGCAGCACTGCCTCTTTCAAGAAGGGTGCCGGGTGCCAGATTGGTCGCACTGGCGCCTATTGCACAACGTTTTCGATCAGATAATGGCCTACGCAAGTCTTGTGCATCAGCAGATCACGACCCTTAGGGACAGGATATCACTTGCGCTTTGTGTAGGATTCTACCCATCGCAGCGACGGCGGTAGTGGTGGTGGTGATGGTTGTTCTGAGAGTGGCGAACTGTGCATCGCATGCAGCACTGATGTTCCAAGGTTGGTTCGCGGGCAGTGCGCTGTGGCACTCCGCCACCACATCTGCAGATGGCATGCAGTCTTACCGGGTTATTCATTGAACGCGCACGCATAGCAGTGTGTCTATATTGCTGTGAACGCTGGTGACCTTCTGACGCAGCTATGCAGTTGAACGCGACTTTGAGGCACAGGAGGAAGTGGGATGACGCTGTGGCACCAACGCTTACATCCTCAAATCGGCCCTTCAAGGGCGAAGTTACCACGAACGTCGGGGCGGAGATCCCAACACATAATCATTGATTGCATCTCGAACAACTCAAAAGGCGCCTGGTGGTGAACACCTAAATACAGTTTTACAGTTCTATTGATGCGCGACAGACATGCCTTCCGCTTCCAATCACCATCGTTCATCAAACCATGGCCGTCTCTGGCTTGTGTCTCGCCACTTCTGCCTTCCGGATGTTATGGTAGTCCATATCCTCAAAATCAGACGTCGTGTTTACTGACACCAGCGGATCATCTTGCGACGCAGGTGGACTTTGCCTCTTACCACCCCAGATGAAAGTTCTGACGGTATTCAATGTTCCTCCTAGCGGTCTCTGGGTGGCGATCCTCGGCGCGCTTGGATCCTGGTGCTTGTCATGGAGCGCGTCGCTTCGCTGGGGACTCCGCCCGCTGCTTCTTGAGGATCTGGAGAGCCTTAGCACCGACAGGAGACGGTGCCCAAATCGCTGGAATACAGTATCCTGCTTTCTTCGGTCATCATCGACAGGGTTGGTGATGAAGACTCCGCGGATAACAATGACGGACGCCATTATGAGCGCGACGCAGGATTCGACCATGAACCAATACGCAGCCCACACCGGTGCAGTTCCGAATGCCGCCGCTGTTGTTTCGGTCAACGAGCCAACGACCCGTATCAATGCGCAAACAACCATTACTGCCGAGAGACCCATCAAGGCCACGATTGATAGTTTCCGAGAAAACGACATCATCGACTGGTTTACGACGACAATGGGAACGGTAACGACTAGAAATAATGAGCCTGTGAACCGGGGTAATGAAGTTTCTAGCTGTATGACTTACTGAGAATATCGCCTATGATGTCAAGGACGCCAACGATAACATTACCCGCGACACTTCTCTTATGCATCTGGGCATCGCCGCATTTAGCTGTATAAACTCAGTACTTCGGGTCTTGATAATGGACAAAACATTGACTGACCTGCGTCTGCACCAAAGTGTGCACATATGACGACAAAGTTGACTACGGCATAGATCCAAGCAATGACAAGAAAGCCTGCGGTGATCCAGAAAAATCGTACGACTCTGACCGACAGTCCAAGGGTCAGGCCATGGAAGAAGTACATGAAAGCAAATTTAACTAGATAAATGGAATTCCATCCGAAGATGGAGAATATGAACGCCCACTTGGGGATGTCCAAGATCGCAGGAATGTCCTCTCGGAATGGGATTGTCTTCCTTTGGTTTATGGCTTCGACGAGATAGAAAGGATTAAGAGCCTTGTGGACACAGGCGAACGCCACTGCCAAACACAGCGACGATGCCAAGACGAGTCCGTCGTCCCATCGTATTTTCCGCCCTCCGAAGATGCGAATCGCGAAGCGCACGAATACGGAAAGAATGGCGAGCCCAAAAAGGAGTCCAGTTGTGATCTGAGGTTTTCGTTAGTATTAAATCTATGGCCAGCACGGGGAGTGCATACCACGAATGGTACTTTGTCAATTCTACCAGCATGCTCGATGGCATACTGTCTGCCAGGCACGTATTGCGCGGGTGGCAGCTTCGATGGATCAATCGACATGACTGGAGAGAAGCTTTGGTAGGATGAGATCTCAGTGAGAAGACTGAACGGTATAGCTACAGAACTTCAGACGGGACGTCGAGACATAATAAGCACATCGCAAGATGTGGGATCACCGGCGACCGCATAGAGGCTTGGGGCTGAGAATATTTGGAAATAGTAATTGCATTCAGATCAGATAGTTGCCTGCTCTTCCTTTGCGCTAAACATTGGTGTGCTGGAGAGTGGTAACAGCCCGGAGCTGTTGCGAGTGGGGTCCATGACCGGTCGGCGTCGGGTAATGAAGAACGAATCAATACATCTCCAAGAAACCGATGACTTGGTAGCAGGCTACTAACCGGCATGGATAAAATCATTTCAGCTGTCGGGATGCATGGCATTGTAGTACAAGAATGCGGTGTCTGTGCTATAGATAGTGCTGACATGCATGATGCCCAAATAGGGCTAGCGCCCTACCCGTGCCGCCCCCAAGGCTACTTCCTCGTGCGCCTTGCACCTTCGGCGGCATTTCAACATCAACACTCGCGAAATCGAGCTCATCTACTCGTGCTTTTGTGCCGCCTTCGGCAATCTTTATTGCACGAAACGTGAGTAAGCATGACGCGGGTCAGCATGCCAGCCGTTATGGCTGTTGCCGCCGGAGCCTTGGTCATGTTTGTAGCCAGCTTAATGGCTAATCGGCAACACATCAAGAGGCTACAAAAGTCAGGTGCAGTAAGTCGACTCTTCGATATACCGCGGACGTACTTCTAATAATAGCCAGCCTATGCCAAAACACCATCCTCTGTTCGGTCATCTCATCGTGTTGAAAGAAACCATTCAGGACTTGCCTCGCAACACTGTAATGCATGTGGTAGTACGGCGGATAGCAGAGTCATTCCCCGGCGGCGTCTTCTATCTCAACCTATGGCCTTTCAACGCTCCTCTCATGGTGGTCGCAAACCCTTATGTTGCATCGCAGGTAGAAGCTGCTTTCCTCAACAAGCCGCCCAACATAAATGCTACCTTGGAGGTCATCAATGGTGGTCCATCTCTACTGACAATGGAGGGAAGCACGTGGAAGAAATGGCGAGCGCTCTTTAATCCAGGATTCGCTGCTGGCTACATCACAGGACTTTCACCTGCGATCGCCGAGGAAGTCTCAACTTTCTGCAAACTTCTCCAAGAACGCGCAAAGAAAGATGAAGTCTTTCCTTTGGAAGAGTATACTCTTCGGCTAACATTCGACATTATTGCACGTGTTACCCTGTAAGTTCACCAATCAGTACGCTTGCAACATGGGGCAACTGCTGAACATCGGACACAGTGGCTCACGTCTATACTACCAAACCCAAGGAAGCGCGCTCGCAGATTGTCTCCGAAGACAAGTCTACTGGACATCGTTCGGCACAACATTCAACCCGTTCCGTCGCTATCTCAGTCCTCGTCCGCTTGTTCAAAAGTACAACAATTACCGTATGAACCGATACCTCGATGAGGAAATCGACAAGCGCTTTGAAGAGTTGGCCAGCTCCCGCAAAGACTCATCTGGTGGATCCCGAAAACAGACGAGATCTATCATTGCGCTAGCCATGGACAAGTATCTCGAAGATATAGAAGACAAAGATGCGATATCAGAATCGGTCTTCAAGCAGCTCGCGAAACCTCAACTTCGGTTGTTCCTTTACGCTGGTCATGATACTACGAGTAGCACACTACTGTACAGCTACATACTCCTATCGCGTCACCCAAAGGCCTTATCTAAAGTCCGTGCAGAACATGACAAGGTGTTCGGGTCAGACTTCTCGCTCGACACCATCACTCGGACTATCGCGGACGACCCCTCACTACTGAACCAGCTACCTTATACTTTGGCCGTCATCAAAGAAGTTCTACGCATCTTCCCTCCCGCTGGCAGCATGCGCGATGGCCGTCCAGATGTCTTCCTATCAGATGAGCAAGGCCACCAATATCCCACAGACGGCTGTAACATCTGGACCCTCACCTTAGCTTTGCATCATAACCCCGAAGTATTTGTGCAGCCAGAAGACTTCATCCCTGATCGCTGGCTAGTCGATCCTGAAGACCCATTGTACCCGAAGAAAGCTTCGTGGAGAGCTTTTGAGTGGGGTCCACGTGCATGCATCGGGCAGACACTTGCGCAGTTGGAACTCAAGATCGCATTGGTAATGACTGTGAGGCTGTTCGATATCACTCCGGCGTATGAGGAATGGGACAAATTGCATCCGAGGAAGGGTATCAAGACTGTTGATGGGAATCGAGCGTATCAGGCTGAGATGGGTGGTGGTGGAGCTCATCCAGTGGATGGCTTGCCGGTTAGGATTACAATGCGAGCGTAAACAGGCCGAGAAGGATGCAAGGAACGAGGGTGATACCTTGTTGCAAGTTCCAAATTGCAACCTAGCTAACGATCGGTATCATGTCCTAGATATATACACTATCGGTAACAATTTCATCCTCTCCTTCCACATTCTGAAAAAGCCGTTTCAGGGTAGACTCTCCTCATCTCCATACTCACCTTCACCTTCACCTTCACCTTCACCTTCATCTTCAACTTCACCTTCACCTCCGATCCATTTAAATTATCATGTCCGTGCTTCAATCTCATCTATGATATCCTCCGTCCTCCGTACGCAACCTATCCCACAAAGTGACACTAATCACAGTCTACGAAATCTCGAGTCTTCATCAACGACAACATGGCTGAGCACGCTCGCGAAGAGCTTGTCAACACTTTCAAAAGGCATGTACTCAGATCAGCTAAAGTATATCCAGAGATTGACTAACTTCATCACAGCTTGCTAGACTCGGGCGCATACTCCGACTTCACCATTACCTGCGGCAGCGATACGTACAACGTCCACAAGGCTGTGGTATGCACTCGATCGGAGTTCTTCAAGGGTGCGGAAAGGTTCGCTGCTAATCAGGTAAGCCGTGTCTCACTCCTGTGATTATACCGCGCACTCGTTAACGTATCTAGCAGCAAGCGTCAAGTGCCAAAGCCGATCTTTCCGACGAGGAGCCAGAGATCGTTAAGCGGCTTGTCAAGTATCTTTACGAAGGCGAATACGATTCCGAGAGAACCAAGAGGACACCTGCTGCAGTCGACTTGCCTGCCGTGAGAGGGCCCAAATCATCTCGGTACCATTACAGCTTTCCACACACATGCCAACCAGATTGTCGGGGTTCCAGCCATTTGGTCTGCCATCACCATATTTGCGGGATATATTCGTGTGCCTCGTGCTGTGTCGACTTCGTATGCCTCAAATGCTGCCCGGACTGGACTTCTTCCACAATACCCACAGCAGGCGCACCACAGCTCCTTCTTCACGCCAAGATGTACGAAATGGGCGACAAGTACGACGTCAAGGGTCTCAAGGATCTGGCCCGCATCAAGTTCACCTCTATCTGCGCTCCATTGTGGGACGATGAGATCTTCGCTGAAGCTGCAGAACACGCCCTCAACACAACACCGGATAGCGATGTTGGTTTGCGAGAAGTGATTCGGGAGACCATCGTGGCCCACATCGAGCTGCTCAACAAGCCCGATATCGCGGCTTTGCTAAGTAAACACACTGGCTTCATGTTTGGTGTTCTGAGACGCGTGGCTGAAGAGAAGGCGGGCTTGCAGCCAGTGACTGGACTGTTGTCGGATCGCCGTCGCACTCGTTATTGAGACATGAACTGTCGGTGTCGTGAAGGGAAAGCGTGAAGAGCCAATGATGGACGTTAGGTTGTAGTAAGAACACCAAGACTCTCCTTCACAAGCACATGACTTGCAGCAATGGTGCAAGTAGGCAGACATACACACGAGACAGAAGCGACGGTTGGTGGAGGAAAGATAGATCCATTCCAGATATCTAATCTACCTCACATTGCGTTCCATATCAAGAGTAACGTACAGTACATCAACTTGTGCCCAATGAGATGGGAGACACATGCTCCATGTAAGAAATCCAGACGCCGATACCGAACCCATCCCATTCCATATATCAGTAGACCCTCTTGGGTCATATTAACGATCATATCATGTCACATTTACTGGCTAGCGACGCGCTCCTTAACCTTCTCGAACATAGACTCCATCTCCTCGGCGATGAAGTCTTCGATCTCTTGCTCAAGGTGCTGGAGCTTGCCTCCGGCGCGGTGAGCGGTGCGGCTGGCAGACTCCTTAGCGCTCTCAAAGTCACCCTCGATCTCGGAGAGAGAAGGGATGGTGATGGTGAACTCGGACTCCTCCTCCTTCTCGGCAGCCTTCTTGACAGAGTAGCCACCCTTCTCAACAATCTCGGTGTAGTTGGAAGAGCCACCACCGTTCCAGGCGAGGACGTTCTTGGTGTTGCTTGGGACATCAGAGAGAGCACCGACGGTAGCGACGGAGATGAGGTTCTCCTTGAGCTTCTTGGGGGTGATGTCGGCGACAGCGTAGGCAGAGTCCTTGCTAGGCTGAAGAGACAGCATGTAGGCGAGGAGACCAGCAATGTGGGGAGAGGCCATTGAGGTTCCAGAGATGGTGTTGGTGGCGTGCTCAGAGCCGATCCAGGTGGAGAGGATGTTGAGACCAGGGGCGAAGATGTCGTTGCACTTTCCGTAGTTGGAGAAGTAGGCACGCTCATCGAGGAGAGTGGAGGCACCGACGGTGACGGCCTTCTCAGCAGCAGCTGGGGAGTAGTTGCAGGAGTCGGCGTTGTCGTTACCGGCAGCGACAGCAAAGTGGATACCAGCGTCAACGGCAGCGTTGACAGCGAGGTCGAGGGTGGTGGACTTGCCACCTCCCAAGCTCATGTTGGCGGCGCTTCCCTTGAAGCCCTTCTTCTTGCCGTCCTTGGCGGCCTTGACGGTCTCAGAGTGAGACTTAGCAGCGTACTCAACACCCTTGACGACGTCGGACATGGTGCCAGACCCGTTGGAGCGGAGGACCTTGACGGCGTAGACGTGCGCCTTCTTGGCGACACCGTACTTCTTACCGGCGACAGTGCCGGAGCAGTGGGTGCCGTGGC